GAAAAGAGCATCTACACTGGCCCCGATCCTCCGGAAAAAAGCCCTTTTCCGGAGGATCTTATTCCTACTTCAAAGTAGGAAGTAGGAATAAGATCCTCCGGAAAAGGGCCCTTTTTCCGGAGGATCGGGGCCAGTGTAGACGCTCTTTTCCGGATTTTCTAAAAGCCGGAAAAAAGCGGCGGACATTTTTATTTAAATGCCGCGGGGGATATTTAAATCCCCCGCGGATTTCCCTATTACGATCTCAAAAATTACCATGCCCCTTCCGGAAAAGGGGCCAATGTAGACGTAGCCTTGGAGTTTTACTGTACATCCCATCTGGACAGTACATAGACACCCAGTTAAGTACATAATAAAATAGTTTAAAACAACAAAAGTGAAAGCATAACAATGGGTAGTCAATATTTTGGATTAAAGGACAAGGGGAGGTACCAAACGTCATTAATGTATAAAATAATATGTACAATGTGTATAATAAATTATTCATTTCTGTCTAGAAATATTGGAATACCTCAAATTAATTCTTTGGACGGCCTAGGGGGCAATGGTAAAATCCATACTATCAATTAAGCCGGGTCTATTGCCCCAGATATAAATACGTAGGGGCTCAAAGGCCATTTGGCTACCAACAACTATTAGTATACTTTGTTCAACAATAAACCTGACTCAGTTGCCTTTGTATCTTATCCAAGTCTGTGGTCTTTGGGAGCTCCCGTAAAGTCTATTATGCTAGCTACCCGTGCAGAGCTGGCATGATATACTGAGGAAGCGTACAAAAACGCATGCAGCTGAACGTTTATCGTGACTGACGGAGCAGGAGACCTGTCAGGCTGCCACACCAGTGAATCCTGAATGTACTTTATCACTGTTTTGAACTACTACAGCTCAGGCCTGTAAGTAGTCCCAGAAAGGGGGAGGTGTGTCCCCAGACAGTCCCTTTCACCTGCCTGGTGATTCCATCTCTGTTCTGTTTGGATTTATGAGAAGCAAGCCCATTCTGGGCACATCCCATTTTCCTGGCACAACCTAATCCTTACCTTGCTTTAAGTTATCATAACAGGAAACTGCATACCACAATTGGTAGTTCTAGCTCCTACCCTTCAGGAAGAGTTCTTGAACAGACAGACATAGTCTCAGACAAACTCTCTAAAAATATAGTAAATCAAATTGTGACAGACATGTGCCATTAGGGCTGAAAACAGCAATGTGAACATTGTACCTCTGGCAGAGCCTCAGGCTAGAAACCTGAGCTCCGACCCATTTTAGACTTGATAGCCCAACCCACAGCATCCACACGGCTATTTCTAGCACACTAGTTTAAGCTCTGCTAGTGTACCTGTACTGCGAAACTCACTTCCAGCTGCAGTATAGACATACTGTTAGGCCCTGATCAGTGGGATGTAGATGCCTGAATGCCTTTGAGAATCCAAACCTTGGCCACTCTGTGCCTCATTTTCCCATTTGTAAAACGGGGACAGTAACATTTCCCTTTCTCACAGGGGTGTTGTAAGAATAAATACAATAAAGCTTGGGAGGCACACAGATATTATGGTAATGCGAGTCATACAAGAATGTTAAACAGGCAGATAGGGAAGTAAATCAAAGTTCAGATTAATTTAAAACTTATTTCTTTAAATAAAAATACGATGAAGTTCTTAAAAAACATGCAGTACTAAAAATCAGTCTCAATGCTGGCCACTGCTAAAGACAAGCCTGCCTGCCGTAAAGGTGCAGCGAGGTAGGAGCATGGAGATAAACTGACCATAAATTACATGTATTTTAAATTTTCCAAGGCTTATTATCAAGCACACAGTGTGAAAAAATATACCTGTAAAGTACTGACAGCACACTTTCAAATGCCTGGCCAGAGGAAGGGGGAAGGCCATTACCAGAGACAATGGGACAAGAGAAAATCCCTCTGTATATACAAAGAAACAGCTTCATATGGGTATGGTCCATTTGATTGCAGTATTGTCAAAAATACTAGCTCTGGGGAATCTTTGCATTTTGCCTCCTGGCGGGGGCTGGGGTCTTTTGGGTTCCCAGACAAGCTGTGCTCTGCGCCACACCACGGGGCTGGCAGCTTGCTGGCTAGTAAGGAGAGCTGTGACCTGATTGCAGCAGCTGGGTCTGCAAGGAACGCCAAGCACCCAGCGAGGGGGGAGCTGGCAGTGGCGCAGCTGTGCCAAGTGGCTGAGGTTTCGGTCCAGGGAAGACTGCCAGGGGCTGGAGGGGGGCCCGCTTTTCAGGGCAGGGGATGTGCTTTGCACCAACGGGGCTCCGTGCAATACTGTCGGGTGTTCTCCGTGCAGGCTGCCCATCTGGCAGCGCGCGCACCCTGCCCCCGAGTGTCCCTGCACCGGCCCCCAGCGTACAGGGCGCCACACAGTTACCTGCCTCTGCTCCACACGCGGTCGTTAACACTGCACAGCCCCAGCTCCTCCCCAGTCCCCCACGCGCCAGAGACCGAACGAGCTGCCTCCAGCTGGCCGGAAAAGCTCGCGCTGGGTTTGCTCCACAAGGGGGCGCCAGCCTCCCCGCAGCGGGTGGGGCTGGGCGGGGGGCTCTCCTGGCCTCCAGGGG